TGAACTGAGCGGTTATAATTCAAATAACCACGGGAACTTCATATCTGTAAAAGCTATGATTGAGGGATTGATACCCCCGGAACTTTGCTTTGTAATCAAAATCACTGTTGATATCTTTTCGTGTTGGTCTAAAGGCTAGATATTTGGAAAGACATTTTTACAAACTAGTTTGTTTCCTTTTTCCAATGGTTTTTTTTCCAGAATATTTGTATAATAATAACTGTCACATCTCAATATATTTTTTTAAATATTCAATAAATCTTTTTAAATTTTCAATACAAAAAATAACTAAAAACACACACTAAAAAACGATCCAAATATAACGTCGGGATTTGATTGTGACCTACAAGAGCCTACAAACTTTGTGTTACTTTTGGATCAAAATTACATGGAAGTTGCTCGCTTGTTCTTATTGGGGCCGTACATAGAGTCCTCAATCCAAAATAGCCAATCAAACGCGCAAGGAAATGATTCAAGGTCACCCTTAAGAAACAAAACTCTCTTTAATGTCAATTTGATAACTCCTACTCCCTTTGTCCGAGCGTACATGACAATTATTTTGAGATATAGAGTATATTTTAGAATTTGCCAAGCTGCTACAGAGTCTAGAAAGTACTTCTAACTAAAAAAAGTTGCAATCCTCTGATTTTTCCTTATAAAAGTGAGACAAACATCCAAAATCGAAGGCCAAAAAAGGATGATCACATATGCATTCTTATTCTGTTTATGGAATTTCGACATAATCACGGCTTCTATAGCTAGATAATCTACAACAAAATCGATTAGACAGTTGGTACTGACATACTATACTAAAGTGTAAAACCAAACCAAAAGGCACAATGAGCACACAAGGGAAAAACAAAGCTGAAAGCCCCCCCTTTTTTCAGAATTCCTAAGAAATTAACCACCAGATAAACCACAAGGTTTTTACCGTTTACAACCAGTCATTGAATTCCATTTTTTATTCTAAAGCTCTTTCTTTCTTGTTTCTCACCATCAATAATGATTGGATTTGCAGAAAATTTCAATTTTTTTTAAAAGCCCGCACCGTTTTACATGACGGTGCAAGGATCGGGGCTTGGGTCCCAAGACTGGACGAAATGCGGGTAAGGAGGAACATCATTGTGAACAAACGGATGAGTAGTCCAAGGTGGACAGTTCGCCCTCAATTAACATGAGTGCATTTTCGGCATTTTTAATGAGTTTTGATCCATTTTCATATTATTTGACCATCTACATTGATAAATTATAAGAAATGTACACTTACGACTCTCAAAACCATCTAAATGAGTCTAAATACAAGTTTTGCTCAATTTTCATATTATTTGACCACTCTGCAATGATAAATCATAAAAAAATAAGAAATACACACTTACGACTCTCAAAACCATCTAAATGAGTCTAAATACACGTAATTTTGCTCTATTTTCATATTATTGGACCACTCTAAAATGATAATGTTAGAAAAATACGAAGAGTATTCGCAAAGGCTAAGGAAAATTAGAATAGGAAAAATCCGAGACTCGTGAAAACACGATCTCCTTAAAACAGATTTGCCCCCTCCTAAGGTGCTTGAGGATCTCGAGCAACTGTTTCTCAGGATACAACGGAAACGTAGAGCCTGCTTAGCACAAAGCAACTCTACAATCGAACTGGAACTTAGAACAAGTGATGAACACCGGGAAAAGAAATGAAAGAAGGCTCGAAAGAAAGCTGAGAAGAGATGAGAAGAAAGGTGTGTAAAACTTTGGAAAATGAGTGCCTATTTATAGGCTGGAGAAGAACCTTGAGCTGCTGAAGACTTCAAATGGTTTTATTTACCATTAAAGTGCACTTCAATTCGCAGATTTATGGCCTGGAAAATGCTCCAACGTTTCATGCATTGAGACCACCTTATTCTTCTCATTCAAGGTTGAAACAGTCAAATAATTCTGGCCTTTTAAATTCAAATGAATCTGAAAACGTTTTTTCATTCAAAAGAATTAAAGCCAGCAATTTATTTGTCTATTAAACGTCTAACTTTATTCTACCGAATTAATTTAAACGTTACATATCCTCTTCTCCATTTTGACTGGAAAAATTTAATTCGAACCGGAGCAAAACGTAGGTTGATCAGGCCCGCGAGAGTTTGGTTCGGCATTCGTGTCCGCAGGTCGTGCGCACACATGAGTCAGGCTATTTTTGCCCTGAATCGGACCTCCATTTGCACCACCCTGCGAGGGCGCACGCGAGCGGGAGAGATGTGGTATAGTATTGGCAAGTCAACTTGTAAGTCAATTTTGGGCTCTCACTTATAAAGTGAGCTCGAACTCTTCCCAACACCCATGTGGGACAAAGTCCCTTTGCCTTAACTCTAATTTTTCCAACTCTTGAGAAACTTAATTCTCATTCACTACTACCCATTTCCAACAGATAAATCATAAAAAGTAAGAAACATACATTTATAACTCTCAAAACTATCTAAATGAGTCTAAATACAAGTAAATGAGATGTGAGATCATATATATAAATACATATATTTGTTTCTATGAGTTTGCCATAGCAAGCCCTCTAGAGGTGCCTATAGGGAAAGATAGAGCTACCCTTACTCCTGTTTAAGTGAGGGATTGACTCATGACCTATTCTTGAGAGTATGAATGGTTTTACCACTGAACCAACACCTCATTCGCGTCTAATTATTTTAGTAGATATATGTATGTATTTGGGAATTGGTTGAGGGCCTAGTGATTGAGTAGATTCAGATCCAATTCTCCCTAAAAAATTTTTAAAGGGAGCATTTTTTTCGCTAAATTTTTTGTTCTTTTTGATGAAAAAAGAATAATACTACATCCTTTTCACAATGTACGTTTGGTTTCTATTTTGGATTATGTCAACTTTGTATTCCAATGCATGATTTTGTTTATTTTATCCAAATTATCCTTGTGTTTACAATGGGTTTTGAATTAAGTAGTAGTTGGTTTTATTAGTTAAGGTTAGAATAGACATTTATCTTTGCTAATCATTAATTCTTAGTATTTGTCCTACTCAAAGTGGACTAACATTGTGAAAAAGAGGTAGTACACAGGGGCAGAGACTCAGTGAGGGCACGTGCTCCTCACTAAATTGGGTCCAACATAAAGTATTTTTAAATTATTTATAATATTTATCTTTATAAATTAGAATAATAATAATTTGATTAAATAGTGAAATAAGAATTAAGCTCAAATTTTTTTTTTGTCCACACGAAGGAAGCCGAAACTTAATGATCCCTAAGTGAGTGGGATGCCCATACCCTATTTACATGTAGACTTTCCAAAATTTTTGATTGAGGTGTTGACAAAATATACTCCCTAAATGGGCACGATAGACTGAATTTCACTAAGGTATCTGCGACAAGATTATTGTCTTGTCGGGTATGCCCAACCGTAATTTGCCAATCGAGACTAAGAAATCTCTTGATCCTAACAAGCAAATTCGCGAATGAAGAGTTGGTTCAGTGGTAACACCACCCTTGCTCCAAGAGGAGGTCTTGAGTTCAATCCCCCATTCTAACAAAAAATGAGGGGTTGGCTCTCACCTTACCTATTGGCACCTCTATGGGCTTGTTATGGCTAACCCACTAATGAACTCCTAATTTCTCACCGATCTTGTTTTCCCGGGCTTGCCTAGGATGGTTTACCTCCCACTGTTGTTTGCAGGCTATTGCAGTGGGCGTGAGTTTACCCATCTCTGGTGGGGTTCCCGACATTATCAAAAAAAAAAAAAAAAGCAAATTGCTATTCACAAAATTACAATTCTCATTTGTCAAAATATCAACAATCTTAAGAGAGTCTAATTCTAATTGTACCTTTTTAAGACCTAAATCTCATGCAATTCTGAGTCCGTGGTAACCCCCCAGAACTCAATGAAGCTCAAAATTAAAATTTATGTACAAAAGACTTAAAATCTAGCCCATAATGAAAATAGAATCCGGCCCAAAACAAGAAAAATTGATCATTCATACCAGAATCATGTTGAGGAAGTTTATCTTCGTAAATGAATGTTACTTGAAATCGTTGAGGCAATTCATCATCTTCAATACGTATCAATTGAAGTTGAGAAAAATCATCATGGTTTACTCCATCGATTTTTTTGTTTAAACCTGAAGACTCCAATCCAATGATCCTCCCTTGATAGAAATCCATATGAATATCGTTCATGAGAATGGTAGAGTAATCATAAACAATATAAAAAAAGAAGCTTGTTTCAATCAAAACTTATTAGGTAACTCAAAAGTTTTAGTATAAAAGAATGATACTTTGTATTGTAGGTCTTTATTTTATAGATGAAAATTTGTTTAATGTACCGCTATACTGAAGATGGATCGATTTTCCATTTTGACTTTTTAGACAGAATAAAATTGGTGATAAGATACTAAAGGAAATTTGGGAGAAAATTATTAATTCGTTGCGCGTGATTAAAATTATAAAAATTAATCTAAAATTTATTCTCTTTTTATAAGAGTGTGTTACAACTTCTAAAACAAGTCCACCGTCTATTCCAGTATAAATTGCCCTGAAACAAGACTTTAGTCCCTCCATCTTAAAAAGTAGTCTATGTTAAATTTTTTAAACTTATGCTTAAAAAGTAGTCTATGTTAAATTTTTGAAATTTGTGCTAAAAGCAGTAAAAAAAATAAAAATAAAAATCTCTCCGCAACTCCCCTGTTACGCTCTTCCGCCTCCTAGGAACTTGGAATTAGGGTTTGAAATTGAGTGGAAAGATGATCAATCATTGCTTCATCAACAACTAAAATTCATGCGCTCGGGGTTACAACTCCTCATTTCCCACAACCTAGGCAAACCCTAAATCAATCCATCAAAAGTGTTTTCTTCAGTCAATCGTCAAGCAGCCGGAACGGGACCTCTCTCGGGTTATTGAAGCTTAAGTATGCATGCAATAATGGCCGGCCGTTACGGCCGGCGGTGGCGGAGAAAGTGGTCGGCATAGACTTGGGAACGACGAATTCAGCGGTGGCGGTTATGGAAGGCGGTAAGCCTACTATTGTGCCTAATGCGGAGGGGCAAAGAACAACTCCGTCGGCGATGGCGTACATGAAGAAGAACGGTGATAGGATGGTTGGACACATTGCCAAGAGGGAGGCGGTTGTGAATCCCGAAAACACTTTCTTTTCGGTGAAGAGTTTTATTGGGAGGAAAATGTCCGAAGTGGACGAGGAATCTAAACAGGTTCCGTACCATGTTATTAGTGACGAGAATGGTAATGTCAAAATCGACTGTCCGGCAGTCGGAAAGCTATTCTCGGCCGAGGAAATTTCATCTCAGGTTTTGAGGAAGCTCGTTGATGACGCATCAAAGTTCCTGAATGATAAGGTTACTAAAGCGGTTGTTACAGTTCCTGCGTATTTCAATGATTCTCAGAGGGCTGCGACGAGGGATGCGGGCCGGATCGCGGGTTTAGAAGTTCTTCGGATTATCAATGAACCCACCGCGGCAGCGTTAGCTTATGGTTTAGAAAGAAGAGGCAAACACGAAACCATTTTAGTTTTTGACCTAGGCGGTGGCACTTTTGATGTTTCGATCCTTGAAGTTGGCGATGGCGTTTTCGAGGTTCTCGCTACGGCTGGAGATACTCATCTAGGTGTGATGATTTTGATAAGAGAATCGTGGATTGGATTGCTGAAAATTTCAAGAAAGATGAAGGAGGTTTGGTGGATGTGTTGAAGGACAAACAAGCTCTCCAGCGCCTCATTGAAGCTGCTGAGAAGGCTAAAATGGAGTTACCTTCTTTGACTCAGACAAACATCAGCTTGCCTTTCATTACATCCACTCTAGATGGTCCAAAGCACATAGAAATGGTTCTCACCAGGGCTAAATTTGAGGAACTTTGCTCCGATTTACTCGGCAGGCTCGAAAAACCTGTTAAGGATGCAATGAAGGAAGCGAAACGCTCATTGAGCGACCTAGATGAAGTGATCATGGTTGGTGGTTCGACCCGAATTCCTGCTGTTCAGGAACTTGTTTTCTTGTTGACAGAAAAAGAACCAAATGTGACGGTCAATCCTGATGAAGTTGTTGCCCTAGGAGCTGCCATTCAGGCTGGTGTTTTGGCTGGTGATGTTACTGACATTGTTCTTTTAGATGTTACGCCATTGTCGCTGGGAGCCAATGTAATCGGTGGTCTCATGTTAAAGATCGTTCCAAGAAATACAACCATTCCGACTTCAATGTCCAAGACTTACACAACCATTAAAGATAGACAGACCAATCTAAAGATTGATGTGCTTCAAGGTGAAAGAGCATTGGTAAAGGACAACAAATTGTTAGGAAAGTTCGTCCTTCGCGGGATACCGCCTGCACCTCGCGGAGTCCCGAAAATTGAAGTTAGATTTGACATTGATGCCAATGGTATTCTTTCCGTGACCGCCATTGATAAAGGCACTGGCAGGAAGCAGAATATCATTGTCACAGGCGCAAGCACATTGCCTAGTGATGAGGTAGCCCGAATGGTTCAAGAAGCAGAAGAGTTCGCCAAGGACGATGCGGAGAAGAGAGATGCCATAGACACCATGAATCAGGCAGATTCTGTTGTTTATCACACAGAGAAACACATGAAGGAATTTGGTGATAAGGTTCCTGCAAGTGTAAAAATGAAGGTTGAGGGTAAACTCATGGAGCTTAGGGGTGCGATTCTGGAGGGTTCAATTCCGGCCATTAAGCAAGCTATCGATGCACTTAACGAGGAAGTCATGGAACTTGGAAGTTCAATCTATGGCAATGTGGGTGACCAAGGGGAGGAAGTAGAATAATAAATAAGTCGTCTCCTCAAATATTTGTTCCTTTCTTCCTCTATTATCTTTCAAGGACAAATTATACATGGTGGAAAGTAAAAGTACTAAGTAGTAATACATAATCTTGTCAACGCACCTTTTCAATATATATATATATATATATATATATATATATATCTATATATATATATATGGTCAAGTCATTAAAGTGGACAAATCGGGATGTACACGAGTTATATAATTTAGTATATATATCATAGCATGAATTGTAATAGTTTAGGATTTTCTTCTTAATCTAATGTGTGTGCTCTTTTCCCGAAAAAAAAAAAACACAGTCTACATGAATAGCATATATGTAAATAATGATAATCGTATCTATGAAATATTTTGATTGATATATCAAAGAAAACTTTCGTAATTGTGACAAAAGATTTGTAGTGCTTCATTTCAACCTACAAATAGAATTTAACAACAATTGCAATTATTTTAAAAAGAAAAAAAAAAGTAAACATCAATAGAAGAGGAAATTTCGACACTACCTTATAAGAATGTGGCAAATTATCTGGTACATCCGGGGGCACCGTGTAACTCTCTGCGCGTGTACTTTACTCTCTTAGAATAGTGTGAGCTCGCTAGATAATTCAGCTTTTTTTTTTAAACCTTCTGTGGATAACCAGTGTGCACACTATGGATAACTAGTTAAACATGGCTCGATAACCAGTGTGCACATTATGGATAACTAGTTAAACATAATTGGATAACCAGTGTGCACACTATGGATAACCAGCTACACACTATGGACAACCAGTGTTCACAATGTTATAACCAGTGTTGGCAATATGGATAATTAGTTATACACAGTTGGATAATCAGTATTGACAATATGGATAATTAGTTATACACAATTTTATTTATGAAAGTGTTCGGCAGGGGGGCGGCGCAGCCGCGGGCACCGGCGCAGACGGATCGTTTAGTTTATCACGGGGGGATTTATACAAGTAATTTGTATCCCCTCTTAACGCAATAACACAATCTCCTTACACACATACGAAAAAAGGATTACCTTGGCTAAATTGGCGTGTTCGGCTGGACGGCGCAGCCGGGGCAGGTTGGTGACCTGCGATTCCGGTAGCCGCGGGAGTCGTTTAGTTTATCATGGGAAGCGAAGCCCCCCAAGTAACATGTCGTTTGCTTCTTTACCTCTGGATAACCAGTTTACAAGTTGTGGATAACCAGTTTACACCTTCTGGATAACCAGTTTACAACTTGTGGATAACCAGTTTATACCTTCTGGATAACCAGTTTACCCTTTCTGGATAATCAATTTATAACTTGTGGATAAATTATGGATAACTAACAATTGTGTGTGTTTGTGCGTGAGGATGAAAATAGTAAAATGGATGAAAACAATTTTGTTTGTGCATTTAATGTAAAGGTGAAAAATATTGAGCACGTGTAGTTCGTGTGTTTGGTGGAGGTATACGGTATACTCGGGTGCACTGGATACGGACTCGAACAATGTCTTCATCTTGTATCTTTCCTTTACAAATTATACGTGTTGGATGCAAACATTATGTAGTAACATTGTAACAATCTACATGATAGGATCGATATAATTCATACTCCCTCTTATCCCGCTGTGAATAGTAAGAGTGTGCAGAGATGATAAGATAGTAATAACGTTTGTTGAAAAATTTTAATATAATAAATGAAACTTTAATATTGTGACGGAACAAGTGTAATACTTCATTTCAACCTATAAACAGCGGGAACTCAACAACAATTACAATTAATCTTGTCTATTTATTGCAAATGTGCATTTCATTTCAATTTGTTGTAGAAATACGAGAATCAATATCAATTTTTTCCTTCCTTTTGATTTTGATTTCTATCTTAGATTCCATGAAAGTTACATTTCAGCTTCAACCCCCCAATTTCTAGCCATTCTTCCTTCCTTCAATACAATATAAATTTTTAGTTCCAATTCTCATTGCTATATCATTTTCTAAATTGTCATTTTTTCTATATCAAAATGGTCATCATGTTTCTCATCATCTTAGTTTATCAATCAACCGGACCCAAATTAACAATCTCCGCATGGCCAACATTTTTCCTCAGTGACTTAGTGATTGTCACTGCATCCATTCCTTCTCCAATGACTTCTATCTTATCCTTGCTCTCCCCTTGTAAGGCTATAGAATCCACACCTAAATCAAATAAGGGAGCAAAAAAACAAATGTAAACTTAAAGATTTTACATGTCTGTGACAAGTTTCTAGCTACAATAAATTCACTTGTACAAAATCGAATCGAAATAGATTAGGCAAAACACTTTTCTTGAGAAGTAAATGTAATTCTTGCTTACCAAAGCAACTAACAACAGTTTTGAGGGCCTTCTTGCGGGTTTTGTGATCACTCATTGAGACCACTTTAATTACCACCTTTTGCTGAAACCAAACAAAGACTAATTAAGACGTTATTGAATTGAAGTAGACCAAAAACATGATTGGCTTTTCCGTAAGAATGACCAAAAAAACCAGATTGTTACCCGCATTTCCCTGATCTTTATGCAAGAGTACTGTCAATTGGAGATCTTCACTAGTCGAAATGATATGAATCTAAACCCTTTGTTGTTGTTTTTTTTTACAAAAATCGCAATGGTTAATGTATAAAATTTTGGCCGGAGCACGCTATTAATAAACTAATAGAATGGCTGGAAATGAATGCCACAAGTTGTGTAGGAAACAAAATCAATATGGTAAGATTAAGGAGGCGACAAAAAATGTTGGAATGATTAGATATATGGTCATCCCGGTTACAAATTTATAGGACTTGCATGGAGGGCTCAATTGATGATTTGGGACCCATTTTAAAGTCCTAACAACCCATAGATACTATTATCCTAAATGCGAAATAAAGCATCATTAGTCCACTAACTAATTATATGACTAATTGAGTCTGTCAAATCTTATGGGACCCCAATCGCACACAAAATGATATTAGGACGCAGACACGCAGAGAACCCCCCGAGTATCCGATTAATTTGTTCATTTTGAAATACAAATGTAAATAAAGCTTAATAAAATAAATTAAAACTTTTCAGTTTACCTTGGTCGGTACCCTAATCACTCATGAAATGAAATACAAATATCACCGAAGTCGAAGATAGTAGAGGCAAACATATTGAGAAACAATATGTGGTTTTTAAAAAATTTAAGTAAATTAGGGCTTTTGAACAAAAAGCTTCACTGAATTGAGAAAATTTCTTTTCTGGGGGTTAATCTATTAAGAACAGTTTAAAAACACCAAGATATACATGTATGAATAAGTCTTCTTCCTAAATATATATCCAGCTACATGTGCTGTAACTGCGCAAGTGATTCAACTGAATGAGAAGTACTACAAATAGTACAATGCTTTAAGTTTTAACTATTCAACGAAAGACTATAGAATAATTGTGATAATGAGAGATCCCTCTTAACAACTTTTTATTGATGTTAATCTTTTCTAGTATAGTTGAACGTCAGTAAATTAATAATCTATAAAATAATAAATTTTAGTAATTAATAATTTTCTTCGGTCCCAACTTGGAACCAGGACAAAAAATGAAGAAAATCGATAAAATGATAAGATAATAATGTTTCAGAAAATCTCATATATATATATATATATATATATATAGGTCCCAACAAAACCATAAATTAATAAATACTCTAAAAAAATAATAATAATAAAGACTTAAATCTTTAGTACAGTATAAACTATTGATACTTGTTTTTTAGTCCTTAGAGATGATATAAACTATGTATAAAAATTTAATATTCAGAAGAGTTTTAATACTTGAGTAATTCAGATATGAAGACAGCTGCACATTATGTAATCTAGTGACGGTTTTTTTTCTCATATAAATTCTCTAAATTAAATTTTTTTAATTTATCGATTATTTAATAATTTTCTAAATTAATAATTTTGGTGGTCCCAACTCCATTAATTTATAGAAATTCTACTTTACTCTATAAAGAAAACTTATGTTTGTTTCGTGCAAGTATATATAGAGGAAATCTGCATAAATCGTTGTTGGCACTATATATATATATATATATATATATATATATATATATATATATTAATCTGAGTAGTTGGTAATAAAGTAGTAACTTTTTTTGGTCAAAACAACTTTAACTTAATTATATAGTTGTGTGTGCATGTATGTTCAGATTGAAGATTAAATATAAGCTGGAGGGAGAATGGTGTTGTGATCTCATCTCATGGAATGGTGTTTTGCTTGGTGGATACAACAAAATTTTTTTATTACATTGTATAAGGACCGGTTATAACATCTCATAGTAGATATTAAAAAGAAAAAGTGAGAGCTCATTCAGCATGAAAAAACATGATACATGCGATTTAGAAAGGGAACTTTTCAAGGAGATACCCAAACCATGAACTTTCATAATCAAATTGCATGACAGCACGAGTGTAGCTTTGTTCTTTAATCAAATTTAAAAGGGACTGAATTTTATTTTATTTTTCTTACCGTCCAAATATAATAATAAAAATTGGGGAAAAAAAAAACTTTTTGGAGAGAAAAAGTTGGATGAGTTGTCACACGAACCATCTTCCACAAAACAAAAAAGAACTTAAACAAACAAATAAAACGACGAATTGAGGACTTTGTGGACTCCAAAATAAAATTACGTGACGGGTCAAAATGTTAAGTCAATTGGCGTGTGATCTACTACGGTACCCTGTACCTCCCCTAAAGAAAGAAGACTTTGACTTGTGATACTATATAATCAGTCGTGATAATCCCGTGTGGAATTTATTTTGGTATTTTATTCAAATTGTTTTTAAAATAAATATTCAAATAGAAAGATTAATTTTGGGACATCGATAATATTGCTTACGCTAGAGAGGTCTAATTCAAGTTCTCAACCTCAATTTTTTCTTCGGAAATAGAAAATGATGAGATCCTTTAGGGTTTGTTGTCTCCGGTAAACCACTTATCACCTTCAAAAGAACTTGTTTCTGCAATTCACGATTGTAGACTTGTACGTACACTTGTTTGTCAGTTTGTTTTTTTTTTTTTTTTTGTGCCCCAATTCAATAAAAGAGCCAATTGCCAACAATGTATAAAGTTACCATTACGTTAATTTAGTTTAGGATTATAATCGATAGTTAAAGATTCTTTTAACTTTTTTATTAGTTTTGGTATTCTATAGATTTTTGGGGTGTTTTTCTTCTTTTCGTATAATCAACTTCATTCTCACAATCGCCAATTGATTTAGGTAATTTGATGACTACTTAAGACCTAATTGGTACGCTTTATTTCTTTAGTTTTGATTTTTTTTTTGGTTTCAAATTAAATTTATAGATTAATACATAGTTATGTAAGTAGTTAAATAAAGTTTCCCTTTCATCAATAGCAATAGAAATTTTGAATGATGTGCATGCATTTCTTTTTTGGGCTAATTTTTGTAATGGTAAAATAATGATTTTTAGTTTAGTTTAACTTTATTTGTCATTCAAGAGTATATAGGTATAGATTTGATTTTAATTTATGTTATACCAATAAATTAGGTAAGGTTGGGATTTTAATTGAGAAAATATATATTAATGAAAAATATATAGATTAATGCAAAAATCCACTATATCATCTCGAACCAACCATGTAAAAATAAAAATAAACGGTGTTTTTTTTTTTGTTTGTTGACATTATGATTGTTTATTGATTCTGGTTGTCCATAAAACGAGAAAATACATGTTAGAATTTTGAGATAAGGTTAAAATTTTAGTTTTGACCAATAAAGTTACTTTAGATAAAATCTCTTTTATTATTTCCTTGAATGACAAAAAAAAATTAAATTGGGTAAAATTGGTTATTTATAGATTTTATTGACTTATAAATAAAAAATTACTATTAAATAATGAAGTGATGTGGTTGCGACATGTGGACTTGGCTATCTCATATTTCGTCACATGGATTAGCCTATCTAATTTTGCGCCATGTGTCCGATTGAAAACTCTTATTTAATATATGTAAGATATATAGAGATATTAAAAGTAAAAATATAAGCAATACAATCATTTTGGAACTATGGAGTATAAAACTTAGTACTCCCTCCGCCCCAAAAAATAGTTCATATTGAATTTTGATTTTTGTACAGAAATCAATGTGTACTATTTTTTTACTATTTTTTTGAGACGGAGGTAGTACTATTTAGTGATCAAACTGACTAACAAGGTACATATTTTAGTATTTACTAACAAGGTCCACCGTCGACAACCGTGACTAATTTTCTCGCTGGTGCGAGACAACTGCCTACCATATTAGGACTTCTTTAATCTAGTTATCCCTACGACAATCATTTTCGGACAGGTATTATTAAGCAGGTGATTAGCCATGTTTTTGGGCCAGGGCATTTTAGTTTTTGGGCTAAACTCTATTTGGTTTTTTTGCCCAATATCAATCTCATTATTCAAGGCGCATATACTCTCAAGTCTCAACTCATCCATCACGATTATGAAGAAAAAAAAGTATTGTTTGTCCGAACCCCACAAAATTTTTCATCAAATTTTTGCAAAACAAACATGCTGCTACGATATCTGCAAATTTTAGGTGGGGGAGAAAATGGTGGTAGGTACACCAGAACCCAACTCAGGAATTAATGTTAAAAAGAATGGAACACAACATCATGATGGTGAGTGGTGACAATGTATGGGCACTGGTGAAATAGTAAAGTAGTCGGTATTGCGGTGCTGGTGGCTACAAAGAACTCAACAAAATCCCACAAAGATTGAATTTTCCAAACTATAGAATCTCTTAATCTGCAACCAACTGTGTAAGTACATTTCGTGTTTTTACTCCAGAATTAGTCCATCTTATTGTTTTTGTCCGTAAATGTGTGCTGACAAAAGTTGATCAGGTTTGGGTGATCATATGAGGAACAATCTTACTTGATAGCTTTCATTTGTTCATGCTTCTTTGATTGATTTGGATTGGTTTTTAGTCGGGTTTTTTAAAAAAATTGTATCTTTGCTTGCTTTATGAAGGGCGTTTAGGTTTAGCTAGAGCTGACAATTAATCCAGATGGCTCATTTAGCAGCAACCAACCCAGATGAAGAGGTAGTTGAATTTTGAGCTTCTTTTCGGGTTGTCTGTACTGAGGAATATTGAGGTGACCTGGATTTTGTTAATTAATTGTTTATCAGGTTGTTCTTGTTGAAGAAATCAGCCATGTCAGATTGGTCACTTTGAACCGACCTCGCCAATTGAATGTGATATCAGCTCGGTTGGTAAGTTTCTTGATCCTTGCCACCATGCCGTTATTGATTTTTTGTATGGGGTTTATCTGGATTAAGTATCTCTGCAATTTTCGTGCACTTTAGGTTGCTCTGATGGCAGAGTACTTGGAAAAGTGGGAGAAAGATGAAAATGCTGAGTTCATACTGATAAAGGTCAATACTCTTTTTTTCTGAAATTCAATAGTTGCTATGTATTAACTTTTCTCCTGCTGGCGTGTTTAGGAGAATCGAATAAAAACATCTGAATTTTATGCTGATTTTAGCTACTATGTTATGCTGTGTGCTTTTCTAGGGAGCTGGAAGGGCATTTTCCGCTGGTGGGGATTTGAAAATGTTCTATGATGGCAGGGGAACAAGTAATTGCGTATTTTCTGCTTCTCCTTTGTGGTTGTCTGTTACCTCTTATATCAAAGCTTCTAATGCATAAATGCTTCTATTTGTCAGAGGATTCGTGCCTTGAAGTGGTCTACAGAATGTATTGGCTTGGCTACCACATTCATAGTTACAAGAAAACACTGGTATTTTCCATTGAGGCCTTTGTTGTCTAAAGGTTGATCTTTAGATCCTGTAATTTATAAAGCCTGTTTACTATTGGAGCTCTTAATATCTTTGCCAGGTAGCTCTTGCGCATGGAATTGCCATGGGCGGAGGTGCATCCTTCATGGTCCCTATGAAATTTTCAGTAGTCACAGAAAAGACTGTTAGTACATCTTTAATCTTTGGAGATTTCATTCTATTTGTTATTTCCTACAATGGTGGAATAATACTTTGTAATGCAGGTTTTTGCTACCCCGGAAGCTAGTATAGGGTTTCACACTGATTGTGGCTTTTCCTACTTGCTTTCACGTCTACCTGGACATTTAGGTATTACCTGTCTGGTTTGCCATTCTATTGAGTTGCTCTGATGTAGTGATGCTATCAAAAGACCGAGTTTTGATCCGACTGTAAATGCAGGGGAATTCTTGGCCCTAACTGGGGCAAGGCTAAATGGTAAAGAATTGGTCGCAGCTGGATTAGCAACACACTTTGTCCCCTCTGAGGTAATGGTGATATTGAAATCATTTCATTTTTTACATCTCATTAGGAGCAGTTAAGCACAGCAGTAGCAATTAAGAGGGAAACTAAAAATGGGACCTTATTTCTTAAATAGTAGGGGAGGAAAATCAAAACTTAACATGAATGCAAATGGGAAGTAAGGCCTATTCCTTTTAATACTTTCATTATACGAGCTTGAGTTCTTGGTTTTCATGTGTTTAATGTATTTGCTTCCAACAAATGGAACTGTATGGGAAAATGTCAAGAGAATGTTTTGCTGTGGAAAGACAAGCTGCATGATGAAGGAAACTATTATTTCTGCCCCCCAGCCCCTTTAGAAACTTAATACATGTAACTTCAATCAACTAACATGTGGAGTTCACTAGCAGATGGTACCAGATCCTCTTGCACTTTCTGCAGCAGATAGTACCAGATTGAGAAATAATCATGGCCCTAAAATAAAGCCTTTTCTCCATGATAGTTATAGATTTAGCCTAAATTGCACGTTTTACAAAATGTTTATAATCAGATCTATGAATGGTACAACAAAAAGGTTACCTGATTTCATGTATGTCTTCTTTTGCCTCCAGAAATTGCCCGAACTAGAGAAATGTCTTGTGAGCTTAGATAATGGTGAAGAGGCTTCTGTCAAATCTACCATTGAAAAATTCTCCATCGAAGTTTCAGTTGATGAAGAAAGTATATTGAACAAGTAAGACGTCTCCATAAGTTAACTGCATTTCTTACACCTGTGAGGCTTACAAGACTGATCTTTCTGGTGAACTTGCAGACAAGAGATAATAGATTACTGTTTCTCCAAGGAGTCTGTTGAAGAGATCATAAAAGCATTTGTAAGAGATTAGAATCATATGGCATGGGATTTTTGTCATAGAAAAGACAAGACCTGATGTAACTCCTTATTCGTAAGCAGGAAGCTGAGGCCAGGAAAGAAGGAAATGGTTGGATTACTCCTGTGCTCAAAGGCTTAAAGAGATCATCCCCAACAGCGCTGAAGATAACATTGAGATCGGTAATTGATTCTTAGTACAGTATCTTCTATGGTAACTCTGTTACGATGGAATCTGGATTTTTTATAGATAGTCTTACTAAAATCATGAACTTGGAAATAACTGAAGATCTGAGTTATCGACCCTTTGCTTTAGTCTAAGTTATGCCTTCATTTTGTCATTAAGAAACATGTGAGAAATGTAATATTTGGTTGGTTGAGATGTTCAAACTGCTTTTCTGGCAAATCTACTTCGTGACATTCATCATATGCATTTTCAGATCCGAGATGGCAGGCAACAATCCTTGATTGAATGCCTTAAGAAAGAATTTCGCCTCACAATGAACATCCTTCGAACTACAATATCTGGCGATGTTTATGAGGTAATAATCAATCATAAATTCCTCTATGTATGGCGCGCATATTTCTCAGGAGTGACTTTACTATTTTTATTTATTTATTTTTTTAATATAGGGCATCAGAGCTGTTATGATCGATAAGGATAACTGTCCAAAGGTATGGTTCCTTCACACGTATATATAGTGTGTCTCAAATGGAATAGTTTCTTGTGGCAAGCCAGTTTCGTGTATTTGTGCTTCTCTCATTGTCTATGTGTGTATCGAAAAGGTTCTTTGACCTGTAGTATTCGTGGCTTTTGTTTAGTTACAAAAGAAAATTTCCTCAATTGAACTTGAAATGAGCAACTAATCAGTAAATTCTCCGAGAAACTAATTCCATTGGCACCATCTTTCCATCTTGTTTTACTTCATTTTCTTACACTATGCAAGACTGTATATCTGCAATGATATGAGGATGCTGCAAGCTCTCCTGAAAATTAATCTCATGTCCAAAACCTTCCTTAATCCCTTTTCTTTCTTTCCTAACTGCAGTGGGAGCCTTCGACCCTTGAAGAAGTGAACGATGAAAAAATCGACATTGTATTCCAGCCATTTGAAGAAGAGCTGGAGCTCAGTATTCCAGAAAGAGAAGATTCCAGGTTTGTACTCTCGCTGGCCCGTCCTGCATTTCCGATATCAAACCATATAGATACATCTTGTACTTCCAACATTCCCTTAAAAAGTTTTATTGTTGTGTTATCCTCAGGTGGGAAGGTAAATACGAGAATTCAGCTTATGCAATTTCTTAAGAGTACTGTAATACAGTTTTAGATAACCTAAGCTATACTATAAGCTCTTCTGGACATCCATCTTTTACGCAATTGCTACTTTTATCTCCCAGTCGCTGTAGCTACAGCGTTTTGCAATGATATTTTAAGGACTAAATAAATAATCTGAGCTCTGTATGACCCGGTGTTCATGTTTTGTACTTTTGTTTGGGTCCTTTTGTTGCCATGACGTTATCCGCAGTGTCAATGCAAATTCTAATCACGGCTGCAAAATCCAAGTGCAAAATGAATGATAATCGTTTGAACTTTGCGAGCAAGACGAGATGATTCACACTTTCACATTTTCTCTGAATAACACACCAAAGTATAATGTGAGGAATACTACAACTCGATCCCGGTGGAGAGAATTGTTACTCGGTTCTTGACAGTTTTAAGTTTTCTCGGGAAAAAGGAAATCCCAACATTGAGACAACATAAATTTACATGAAGAACTAGGTAGATACAGACATTTACCAAGCAGAAGAGTAACATTGACAACTTCAGGTATCAACTAGCGTAAAACAAGGTCGAATTCACTCAACTTCGATACTTGATACACCGAGTAAAATACAGTGGAAAAATAAAGCTAAGAGATGCCCTGAAAAGATAACCGGTCTCGAAAGGTATCAAATATAGATGAAGCTGCAGCATTCTGTGAGATACTCGATCTCAATCTGCCTAGGAATTCATTATCTTTGGACTGAGAGGCAGCATCTGCGGCTTCCTTCGCCATTCCGATTCGAGCGTACGCCTATGCACAGTGCAAGAAAGATGCTTATGTTACAAAGAAAGCACACAACCAAAATAACTCCAAACAACTATGTGCTTGTCTATCTCAAAATTATTCTTCATTAGTAAAATTATCTTTTTAAATCATCAGTCTGCTTTTTAATTTCCGTCTCTGCAAACGGTTTAAGTTTTCTTCCTAAATGAACCATACAATATCTAAACCGAAAAACCAAGCGGAAGAATGCTAAATAAGTCTTACTGCAATCACTATAAATTGTGATCGTATTTACCTTAGCTCTCTCCTCCGGATCAGACAGCTTTGGTATGTATTTCACAGCTTCAGCCTTCTCATCAGCATCAATACACGCCTCAACAAATGGCCGATAACCAACTACAGAAGAGAGAGGGGAAGGGAAAAAGTGAAACCAACTAATCAGTTCACCACTTAATGGATACTGAATAACATGAAGGGTTCACTCAAAGTATCTGAAGCATGTGCTCATATAAGTAATACAGAATAGGACCAATTTGCAATACTGTTTAATCTGCTTACTAGGTGGTCTTTTCTCTTTAGAGAATTTTTCAAGAGCATCCCAATCCCTGATAGTCGCCAATGCAAAGGCCTTGAGCCAATACCACTGCTTCTCCGAAACCTGAATTATGACATAGATTGCAAGCATATCAGTGACTGTTAATAATGAAGCATTGCAAAGGAACAAAAAAAGAGAGGGATTTCTAAATGACACCCATTTCTTTCCTCATTCTAAATATATGGAAGGAAATAGGAAAGAGAAGGACCAGCTTTTGCATACCTTAAATTCTGTCTTAACTTTCAGTGCAGCACGATGATTTCCCAGAACAATACATGTACGAATTGTATCAATGACACTTGAATCAACAAAAATAGGCTGTTTCATTGTTGCCTCGAGGTCTTGCTGGATTCTGCATGGATGGAGCAAGAAATACAAGTTCAGATTTCAACCATTCAAAAGAATCCAATTGCGAAATGATAATCTAGTTCCGGCAATTAATATGCTTTAAGAGATTACAAATGTAAGAAGACGAGGAACTTTGAAGTATGGATTTCTATTCGTGGGGTAAAACCCTGTTTCAGCATGCAAGAAGCATTTGTCACCTCAACAATTTTGCCTGTTCTTCTGCAGCTTTTGACTCAAATACATGCTCCTTTGTCTCCGAGAATAGCTTCTGTGCTTCTTCAATGAGCTTTATACGAGGACGATGAAGGGGAGATCCTTTACTAGCCATTGGATTCTTTGTGTTTTCCCATGACTCTTTCAGAAATAGGAAGGCCACATCCTGTTTAGGAATAGAATCTTTTATGAAAAGTTCCTTGAGAAAAAGAAAATTAATAAAGTAAGGAAGTCAAACATATAAATTGATTCTTGAAATGATAGGGAATTACAGCCGTTATATAAGCTACAACAAACAAACCTGAACATCCCCAGTAGATGCTAGAAATTTTTGCAAGAATTCACGATTGTAGGACCTGAAAAACATGAATTCTAATTTGTTACAGTTGCAGAAGCACTAGCAACCCAAAGAAGGTAGTGGAAGGAGGCCAAAGTGAAAAGTTATCTGACGAATTTTAGTACCTTGCGTAAGTGATGAAAAGATCACGTGACAATGATCTGGCCTGTATAATCCTGTGGAAGTCCATAGGTGGTCCCTAAAGCAGTAATTAAGTACACAAGAAAATCAAAGACTTGTCCACTAATAAAATAAAATATCCGATAAACCTCCAATAAGATAATATGTTGGGTTTAGCGGCAAAAAATCCAATTCTTAAAATTACTTTATACCTTCTGCCTCACATGAAACAACACAAGATATACTAGATCGGTATCACCACTTTCGGCTGCCTTCATAAGAGCGGTAACTTCTTCTCCTATGCTAAGCAAGAGAGGAACCTAAAAATGTTTAAGCCAGGAACAACCATAAGTTAGCTTTTCCAAGTTTAGTTTGTCAACAAAAGATAGCTAGAAAGAAGTTGCAACAAGAGTAACCTCAAAACTTCTTAACATAATCAGAAAGTGAAAACTATAACAAGCATGCTCAATCATAAAGGATACAGGTACCTGTTTCGACGAACGAGGTTCATGTTCAACAAGCATGGCAGCTAACTTCCTACGGCCACTTTTGTCAGCATGAGCTGCGACAGCAGCGTATGAAATACCTTTGCATAATTTCAACTAAACTTGCAAGCAATTAGTTGACTGTTGACATAAATAATGGGATGAAAACGGTGGTAACAACAACCATTAAGGTGGAAAACGAACCTTGTCAAGCAACAGTTCTAGAAGGTCAGCGTCAGGAATTGCTGAGGCCACAGTTATTTTAGAACATGCCCAGTGCATGATGACAACTTCCTACATTCAATGCAGGTGAATTATTACTCCGAAAGGGGTCAGACAAGACGATAAGAACAAACAACACTATCCAGAATTCATTTACATGTCATTTCATTTGGTCTAGAATCTGAAACCTCAGCGCTGTCCCCATCCCCCCACCCAAAAAAAAAAAAAAAAATTCCTCCTTTTCTGCAGGACACAATTTATAGCAGAAAATGTCACTTTAGCAAGCGACTTACTTGATTCATCTCCAGGTATCTTGATATCTCCAAAGCTTGAATGTGCAGATGAGCATTAAGTAGACGTCCAATCAGAACCGAAGGGGTAAGTAACTGAGAAAATGGTACAAAAAACTGATCACGAATAGCCTCAAAGATAGATAACCAAACTGAATCCGAGGAAAAATTTGTGAGTAAGGACCTTATACTGTTGAATACTGAGTGGAATGCCAACATCAGCATGCCGTACAGCATTTAGCACCCGTAGTATTCGGCATGTGTCCCGGATGTGATTGCGTTGAAATTGGCTGCCAAAGCGAACTGGATATCAATATCAAGACTGGAATCAGGAATTTATATTTTTGTCACGGAATAAATGCAGGCACCAACTGAATTTTCTGTTATTCCTATCCACATAACCTGACGACATCGAACAGCACCACTTGACATGATAAACAACCCCAGGCTTCTATTAACATCAATTGATTAAAGTATCGCATACCTATATGTCTTAACTGTTCATATGCATACCTAAACCACAATTAGCATGAGAAAGATGTACTTCAAAACTATCAGACAGTAATAAGGGTCCACCTTACAAGCCTTCTGTGTCTTCTTCTACCCACAGATTCAATAAGATACACTCACAGCAAAAAAATATTACCACCAACCTGCAAAAGGCTTGGCCATAGCTTGCAGCTCTAAGTAGAGTGCGTTGAAGTGAAATATCAAACTCATGACCAGCAGCATCAACACATGCTTCAACAGCCTCGGGCAATGATGAGCGGATTAGTCTCAAATTTTCATCAGCCTGGAAGAAAATCATCACGAGGCCTTTTAGAATTATAATAGGAATTAGATCTCAACAAAAAAGTTTTCATTCCAAAGGATACTGTGCCAATCTAGCAAGAGGTGCATTAATTGACATAATCAGCTTGACGTGCATGTATAATGCTTAATATTGTTGAATCAAACAAGTAGAGTTGCCACTGTAATTTATAAAGATGGAAATTACTTTCATTTAACATGGCTAGCAGATCATCACTTAATGTAAACCATCTATCCAGGGGAGATTCTTCAGTTGTCCAAAACTCAGAAGTTTGTTCTAAAGGATCAATAGGCAATACGAAGGTCAAATTTTGTAAAAAATACTCCAATCCTAGAAGGGCAGAAGAAAGAGGTCTATTTTGCTTCTGAGACTCTGCCAAATTGTACTTTTAGTAGTCCAAGAGAATGAATTTCATGTTAAATGATAGTCTGGAGGAGTGACTATGATGTATGACGTTTACATGCACCTAGACCGACAAAGGCATTAATTCATTACAATAGACTAATGCCCTAATAATATCATATGATTACACAAAACAATAATAATTACATAAGGAATTAAAGAACTCAAGTAGGCAAGTGCCCCCAAAAGAAAACCCCCGGGGTTTTGCAAGGAAGGAAAGAATCTTCAAGCAAAAGTGTACTTAAAACTTGGTTTCACAAAGTCTAACTTTAGATTATCAGTGATGGCAGATAGCCACACAGAGAACTCAAGGAACCTTACCTTGGCACTTCGGCGGTCAAAATGATCCAAGGCATCAAACAGCAAAGCAGCAGGCATCGTACTCCCAATCTGGAAGATTGATACCGTTGAATCTGGAACTCGTTGTAGAAACTCCATACTGGAATTTGAAAGTATCCTGACCCCATCACATTCCGGAATAAGTACTATTGGTTCATCATAAAAGTATCGAACTGGTTCCAATTCTCCATCAGAAGGACCAACCATCAAAAGTATATCATCCCAGCAAAGCAATATACTGTCCATCCCACACCAAGCTAACTGATCAGGAGGCAGAGGTGACTACACAGATTAAAAGGGCAAAATATCAGATCAAATAACATTCAAATCTACCTTCATTTATCTCTAAAACAATAAAATTCAAATAAATCAGGCCTTTGCACATGAGCACTGTCACACTTCAAAAAGGTTAAGTCTCTACTGCAAACTACTTTATCCAACCAATGTTAAAAAATTATCAACAGGGAATACAGATAAGTGCAAAAATTGAGCTTCATAACCTCACACTTATACTGGAATGCAACGTCGGAAAAATCAGAGGGCAAAACAAGAAGAGTCCCATCATGAGTGAAAGTTGCAATGTATTTTCCATTCCCAGAAACCACCATCTTCTGATAAGGCCCGAATTCGGCCCCAATCTGCTGAACCCCATCCTCCTCCACAACCATCACATGATCCTCCACCGCCAATAAAACCTCCACATTCCCAGACATAGTATACTGCGGCTCAATTACAGCCATACACAATGGCATTTCCTCCAAGCCGGTATCCGCCAGTTTCACCGGGTTCGGATTCCTAAAATCTGGTATGCAAAAGACTTGAAAGGCCTCGTTTATGCATACAACTCCATTGCCCCAGAAAAGGCATTCAACGATGTTGTGTTTGAAACGGTCTTCACCGATGGTTAAGGTCTTAATCAGCTCTGCGTGGACAGAATAGCAGTAAACGGTACCGTCTTGGGTGATGCAGATTAAGGTTAAGTCATCGGACCAGGCCATGCCAATTAGCCGGCCACCCGGGTTTTTCCAGACGGTTTCGGAAATCTGGACGCCGGCGGAGTTGAAAATACGAAGTTTCCGGAGGGCAGACTCGGCGTAGAGCTGGACGATCTTGCCGTCGTCACGGATCACGGCGACTGGGCCACCGTAGGGAGCGCACGCGACCTTGTTGCGACTGAGGTCCACATTCTTCCATTGCAATTGATAGAGCTCAAGTTTCCGGTAGTAGCGGTTGAAGAGGAGCTGCCACTCCGCCGCCACGACTGCGGCCATAACTGGTGATTTGATCGGAGTTGCGGAGTCAGTAGCAGAGGAGTAATTTCGTAATTAGGATTTTTGTGGGGAAAATTTTAATTTGACTGCAAGGGTGTAAAGAGGAAGATGAAAGGCGTGGAAGGGACAAACCACAAGAGAAAAAGGAATCAAAATAATGGAGGCAAAATAACAAATTAATTAATAGGTTGTGACGTCGTGTAATCCAACACCAAATTGAACCACGTACACATTATTATTTCTTTATCTCAGTATTATATTATCCAATTTGAATTTTTTTTTTAAAGTTCAAGTTATATCAAAACTAAAAATACAAATTGTACTAAAACTGGAATACAGTTTATTAATTTACAGAACAATTGATGAATTAATAATTTGTTAATTTTAAATAGTTCTTTTAAGGGGAAAAAAATCCCCATTACTTAAAGTAATTTTTTTATCATTTTTATCATCCGAATTAAGCCTATATTGTAACCCTTATCAATACTAAACCCCACACATAGTATGCGTCTTCTTTAATACTGAAAAAACAAGTATAAACATTCATAGTTTACTAAATATTTTTTAACTTTAGGGTAAGCATCAATTTATAGTATTTTCCAAAGCAATACTATATATATATATATATATATATATATATATATACACATATACATATACATATACATATAATATATGAGCGATTACGGTCCAGTCGACTGAATAGTCCAGTTGACATTGATAGCCGTTGGATGATTCAGATTAATAACAACTATTAGATTAAATAAGGTGGGCTAAAAATTAAAGAATACCCTATCACACCTGATTATTGCCTTGCTACTGGTAAATTGTTAATCTGGTAAGATTATCTACGGCCAAGAAAAAGAATAAAAATTCATAAACTTACTCTCCGCCAATCCCATTTCACCTCGCCACCTGCATTTCCTTTCAAAAAAAAAAACTTGCCACACTCACACAAATTACTACTCCAGTATCGTTGAGTCTTTTATCAGAATCTCTATTCGCTTGAGGAAAAAGGTATTTAAATCGACTATTAGTAATTCAAATTAATCAACGATATGAAGATCACTGTGAACAACTATGAATGATGACAGGCCAACCCATCTTCGATATTAAGGTTCAGCCATCCGATACTATTTGGGCACTAAAGGAAATTAAACATTGAAGATCCTCAAGGAAAAGATTAATATCCATGTGGTTAAGCAGTTATTGGTTCTAATTCGGAGGTTCTGAAAGATGAGACTACCCAGGTGGACGACGAAGCGTTTGAAGTTGATGACCTATTGTTATACTCGACTAGTAATCACAAAATATCGAGTTCTACTTGTGCATTGGTTGTACCTCAATAGCTCGTCTTCCAATCCCAACGACTTCAAATTCAAATGCTGAAGCTGCTTCAATTGTAGTTACTGGAAATAATCTTAAATAAACTATTAAAGGATCAACGGACATGGTGGCACTTAGGACAAGGAATTTGTCGCACTTGCCCTTCGAAGTTATACACCAATGCCTTGGCCGCGGTTTCCTCGTTCCTGACTATTGTGCTCCCTTTGTTACCGGAAAACCGAAAATGCTATCTCAGCAGACAAAGCCAAGGAGGTCGTGGAGGTTCTGGTTGAAAAAATAAATAGTAACGTTAATAAGTATTCTCTTGGGAATGCTATTGTGAGGTCTTTCATCAAATCTTTAGGAACTCTACTAGGATTTTGTAATTTAGAGGACTGGAATTTTATTAAGCTCGAATTTGAAATTCTTTTGAAGTTTTCCATTGATAAGCGACCCAAGGTAAATTTTCTTCTTTCCTACCTGCGTGTTTTCTTTTATATACTTTTTATGCTCGATCATGTGTTTCCGGTTGTCAGCCTTGGATTGTATAGGTGGATAGTATTGTGGGATGTAATGGGGGGATTCTGGTGGATTGTACTTTGAAGGTTGTATCTTGTTATGATATAAAGCAGGTTTCCTTACATGAGTTCTTCATCTCATGTCAATGAAACTATGCTAAACATCCGACATCTAAACTGACTTTGAAGTTCTCTTTTGCCGATTTTTGAATAGAAATATTAATTAGAAAATTAGGAAGTTCAGTTCAGTTATCTTTTTCCTTTATTTGTGACCTATGTTATGTTTGGAAGTGTTAAGTGACTCTAAAGCTAGTTCAACTCCATTTTGTTAAACTTATTCCTATTTCCATCCGCATTATCTATTCGAGTACAAAAATGCACTCAGCTTGTCTTTTAGCTCTTTTTAAGTCGTTGAAAGCTATGGTTATAATCGAGGAGGTGACCAGAACAGTACACTCAATGTTAAAGGATTAGTTATCATTGGCATCGAAAGGGAGTGATTTGAAGGCTGCATATGGTTTCAGAGTTGATTTAAAGTCCAAGCCCGATCTCCAAGAATTTGTTCATCCATGTATTTGCATTTTAGTGAAATGCATGCCTTCTTTTCGTCTCTCTAGAGCATTGTTGACAGAAGTTTGTGGTTTTCTTTTCTACATGGCAGTATGGCTTTGTTAATGTAGTTCTTAATTCGGTGAAAGGGATGGTATATGTGGAATTAAATTGTCTCTACGGTTCAACTTCTTAGATGAATATCAAAATTTAACGCCGTTTTGGGGAGATTGTTATAAAAACCGAATAAAAACATGGGGAAAATAAAGATGGTGTTAATAAGAACACAAGATATGAAGATCACGGTATGATAAAAGTCAGACTTTTCAAAAGTTTGGATATCAAAAAAGTGAAAGTAAATGGATAGATTGTTCTGGTGTGTCTCACTTTTATTGGCTAGATTTTAACTACATGGTTGAGTAAAAAAACTTTTGACTGGACCATAGAATTTTCTATAATATATACACACACACATGAAACTTTCTGAAATATGATTGTCTTATTATTTTATTGATTTTGCTTGTGAAAAAATTATTAATATATCAACATTCTACTGTATTAATTTAAGCAAAAAATTTGTACGTCCATCAAAATTTATCACCTTTTACTTTAAAAAACCAATGTCACTCTCACAAAATACCTCAAATGGCAATATTTCATGTTATATCCTTAATATGGTTTAAACTTTAAACTAATCTTCTCTCAGTCCCGAAAAATTAGTTCACATTAAATTTTGAAATTTGTACTAAAATTAATATAAATCTTAAAATTCAATATAGACTTTCTTTTGAGACAGAGTTAGTATAAGAAACTTTGCACGGTATGTTACTCTCACTATAAGTTTATTAGCCATGAACCTACGCAATAATGTATAATGATTATTATGAAATAAATCAATTGACCTTATAAGAAAACTAAAGCACGCCCTCGATAGATAAACATATAATAAAAACCTTCTAAATTAGTACCCTAAAAATTAATAAACTCTATTAAAGAATAAATTTTTTCAGTCCTAACTCGAGAGCAGTATAAAAATCAAACAAAATCAATAAATTAGTAAGATAATTAATTTTTAGAAATATATAAATATAGGTCCCTTAAAAATTATAAGTTAATAATGATATAAAATACCAAAGAAAAAACTAAGAAGTTTTAAGAAAATAGGAGGCTATTGAGTTTTTTTTTTCCTTGAAATTTATTTTTAAGAAGGAAATTTTATTTTTGATTTTCCTTCCAACCTTATAAAATAAATTATAGGATCATAATAAATATATAAGGAAGTAAGGTTGAACAAGTATTTGTTTTTGAATAAAATTTAAAAATTAAATATAAATTCATCGGTAAACTAGTAATTATTAATTTATTGATAAAATAATAATCTCTATAAATTAATAAAAATTTTGTAAGAGGATGATGGGGATGAGGAGGATAAAAATGAAGATGTTGGTTTGGGAAGAATGAGTTGTTGGAAACAAAAATGGAAATAATAAAAATGACGAAAAAGGAGTTCAAAATGTGGATGAGAAATCATGTCAAATAACAAATAAATTAAATTGTATAAACTGTAATCTACGTCAAATTGTTGCGCAGTTTCAATTTAAAGTTTGAGTTCAATTTGTATTAAATTGAACTCAAAATTCTCCTACTACATTAGCGTCGTCAGTCATCACTCATCACATCCAACATCATGTCGTAAAATATTTTTTTACCATCATATAATTTTAATTAATACTTAATAATCAATATAACTATAATAGAACTTCTATAAATGAACACTCTTGCGATTATAAAATTTATTGATTTAAAAAATTATTAAGTAATCTATAACTTAATAAATTATTAATTTAAATAATTTCCTTTAAGAAAAAAATCCTTATTATTTGATGTAATTTTCTATCATTTTTATAATCTGAATTAAGTCAAAACTCTTATCAATACTAAAATCATACATAGTTTACATCTTCTTCAGGATTGAAAAACATGTATCAATACTTCATATTTTATTAAATATTTATCATTATTGTTATATATTTTTTCCTTCAGTGTAAGTATTAATTTATACTATTTTCGAGACCAATAGATATATAGAGAATTTTTAAAAAAATATTAATATTTTATTTTGTTATCAATTTCGCTCACTTTGTTTACTGGTCCTAAGTAAAATGGGAAAAAATTATTGAAAACTCAAATTTATTAATTTATAAATTATTAATTTAATGACATTCTACTTTATAGTAATTTAAAGAAATAATTGGTACGCCGTTTTAAGAATTCATCACCTTTTATTTTAAAATTAATACCAGTCTCAGAAAATACATCAAAATGGCAATATTTCATGTTAAATCCCTAATATGGTTTAAATTTTAAACTAATACTCCATCTGTCTAGGAAAAATAATTCATATTGAATTTTCAAAAATTTGCATTAAAATCAATATAAATTTTAAAATTCAAAGTGTTATATTTTTTGGATCTGAAATAGTATAAAAAGTTTGCACTATATGTAACTCTCGCTGCATCTTTACTATCCATGAAGCCACCTAGTAATTTATAATGATTATTAATTTATTATGATAAATTAATTGACCTTATAAGTAGACTACAACACGCCCTCGATAAACATATTCTCAATAAAAATAATTGTAAGCTTAAACTTTCACAAATCTAAAAATAATAGGAAGCATCTATTGAAATTTTCGTATTTAAGGCAATCCAGTCAAAGCCACAATCAACATAAAATGCTAGATCTCATGCGAAACAATAGGGAGTAAAAGAGTTGTACTCACCGAATTTTGCTCATAAGCAACTTTGACTGTTGCAAATTTAGGGTTCTTCGAGTATAATATATGTGATGATTGAAGAATTAATGCAGCGGGGAAAAAAAAAATTGCGGCACTAAGTTTGTCAACGAAGTGAGTCCTAATTGATTGAAATTCATGTTGAATGTCATGGAGGGCTTAAAGAAATGGTTGCATATGTATAGTTCGACAAGTTTTTTTTTTTTTTTTGAAAAAAAAAAAGAAATAAAAGAAGACGTAATTAATCTTAAGAAAAGATGAAACTAACAAAATTTTGTGAATGAATAACACCAATAATCAACGTCATTTTAATCACGATTTTATAATATCAAAATGTCGATGAAGCACCAATACACCAATATTTGCTACTTGGGTCAATTTGCAGGATTTGCAACATGTATATTTGTATGCAAATATAAATACTGGTAAAAAAATATATATATACAGTACTTAGGTATAAGTTAAATAATTATAAATACATCCATTCAATCGTAAAGAAAAAAAACATAGTATAGTGGGATGAGTATAATAATAAATAAAAAGAACTACAATGTAGATGTATGTAGTAAAACTTCTAGTCATACAATTCTTTTGATATTTTTTATCGATTTATTTGATAATCATATTATCATAGTAGTAATAATATAAGTATAGTAATACCCACTCCCCAAAAATATGGTAGACTATTAGACTCTCGAATTACAGTAAAAAGTTAAAAATGAACTAAGTAATTCGAGATTAGTTATTTTTTTGGGTCAAAGAAGAAAGATTTTTGGGTAAGGCAAATCTCTCGCTTAAAGTTTGAAATGCAGTTAGACTGAAGGTGTACGTATCTTCTTTCTTTCTTTGTCTGAGGCGTACACGCTCTGCCGCTTCTCTATAAATCTTACTGTCAGAGCTTTTCCTCAATTTCTTACCATATAATAGCTGAATTAATCAAGCTTGCTGCATTCTGCTCAACCCTTCTCCGGTCAGTCATTCTTTCTTCTCTCTTCCTCTAATTATGTGTTCTTTTGCATGTTGCTTAATTCTGTAGTGGTAAATAATTTGGAAGTTCCTTGTTTTTCTTTTTTGGTTGTATTACCGTCCTTCAAAAAAAAAAAAAAATTAATCATGTTCGTTGTACTGTTTTAGTTCGATGGTGGTAGTATGAACGTATGTTCTCAAAACTTTTACAGAATCAATGGAATGTTATGATGATCAATCATTTTTACCTTTTTTTTTAATAGCTGTTAGATATCTGGATGGATAAAAGCTACATTACATACCTTTAAGGAGAATTACATAGTTTGATTTGATTTCATCATTCTAAAATAATACTAAAGACTGTTGGTTTTATGGGCTATAAATTAAAAAGATTAAATCTGTCAAGTCTAGAATGGTAGGATTAGTATAATAATACTGATTGTTTTCTCTTCTTTTTTTTTTATTAAACCCTCTCCAATGCCTTTCAAAGTAATTATGATATGGAGATCACTAATTCCAATAATAAAAACAACCTCTTCCTTTTTTTTGTGGAATGAGGTTCATTTTGGTGTCTTATTTTTTTGGGTGTGTTTTTCTGAATTTGACAACACTATGTGCTCAAAGAAAAAAACACACAACATGAGATCTGAAGAGATCCAAATCCAAATAAAGAACACCAAACAAAATGCTAAAAGGTAGTAGTGCTCTCTGCAGCAGCAGAGGGCCATATAGATATTGCCCACATTTACATAGAATATTCATGGTGCTTTTGTGCATTCTGGAAAAAAACATGTAAAAAAAGGTGGTGTGCTCTGTGGCATTTTGGACAAGCAAAGGATAATGTCTGGTTGTTTTCTCAGTATTCTTCCTCTGTTTCAAACCGACTAATCATCTCCTTTTTTTCTTTCAATAGATTATGTCCTTTTTTCCATCTTACAAAGATATACCATTGACATTCTTTTCTTAAGTCCCTCTGTTTCAATAATTGTTGTACTCCCTCCGTCCCATAATTATTGTTCTGTTTGGATTTTCATTTCTAATTCAAATTGTACTAAAAGTGAAATCTCATACTGGACAATAATTTTGGGACAGAGGGAGTATTTATTTTCAACCTTTTCTTTTCTTTTGAGACTTGAGTGTGTGTACTTTGTGATCACCAAATTCTTCCTCATCAAAAAATAAAAAAAAAGTTTGTTATCAGTTGTCCCACCAGGTTGAATTAACAGCAAATGTCCAATTCCTAAGGCATTTCTTACCACTTTTTTAGGTTTATAAAAATGCTTTCTTGGACACCAGAGTAGTGAGAGCTCTTCATTTGTTTATTTGTACTGCTTCAACTTTTAGCTTCTTTCTGGCTTAACTTCCCTGTACATGATTCAGCCCGGCCATCAGATTTTTAAATAATCTGTTTGTGCTTTTCCTTCTGAGTGTTTTGCCAAACATGGTTTACAAACAGAGGATGTCCTCTCTTGCCATTTTTGCAGGTTTTGTTACTCTTCCTCAGCTTCCATTGATTCTCTGCTCATCTTTAAAGCCGCAACTTGAAACAGCCCAGCTGAATTCAAGAAGCAGAGAAGAAATGGTAAATTGATCTTTTCATTGTAAACATAATATCCCTTTTTCGGTCTAAATATTATGTGATATGATTCACTTACAAGTTAAGAATGATCAAATTCTTTCCTTCGGAACAGTTGTCACCTAAAGTGATATCAGAGGTGGTGGTTCATGCTGTTATATTCTGGATTTCCATGGGGTTTTTGATGCCTCTTGGAATTCTGATTATGAGAAAAGCTAACTACGAGCAAAATCCAAGCCGGATGAGAATCATGTTTTACATTCATGCTGCTCTACAGGCAAGCCATAGTTTTTGTTCTGTTTCTGCATGTTTCTTGTTACATTTTCAATATTTGTGAAATGAAAAAGATCCCAAAAGTTAACTCTGATTAGGTATCATTCTGTCCTATACTTTTTGGTTGCCATGGGTTTTTGGTGAATTTTCTTTGGAAAATCGGATTATCCTAGCCTTAAACTATCTGTGATGGTGGAAAGAAACTAGGAAAGAAAGAAAAGAGAAGTAATGATTTCCTTCATACAAATTATTACTCGTAACCACCATCCACAATGCATTTGATGACAAACAACTACTAGTTAATCATGTCACTTAATTTTTGATTTGTTAACAAACATAATCACTTTTGATTGCTTTGGGAATTTATAATGCAGCCATGATAATTGGATAAATACATTGTTATTAATCATTCATGTTCTTCTGCAGTCTCTAGCGGTCCTACTTTTGACAATTGGAGCAATACTGGCATACAAGGACTTTCCAAATGCCTTCAACAATGATCACCAACGTTTGGGAGTCGCCCTTTATGGTCTCGTTTGGGCACAATTTTTTCTCGGGATCACGCGGCTAAGCAAGTACTGTTCTATTATTGATTCATCCACAATGCAGAACTTTCTGTTTATAAATTGTTTCCTTTTTGTTTCACTGAAAATGTACATACATTTTGTTATGTTGCTGTTCAGGGGAAACAGAGGAAGGATGATATGGTATTTTGTGCATTGGTTAATTGGCAGCGTGGTTTGTTTGCTGGGAGTGATTGCTATATACACTGGTTTATTTGCATACCACCAGAAAACTGGAAGAAACATTCGAGTCTGGATCATACTCTTCACAGTGGAGATCTCTTTCCTTATTTTGTTCTATCTCCTGCAAGAAAAATGGGAGTACATTATGAAACAAAACCATATTACGGCCATACATTCTGCTGCGGACCAAGAGTTTATGTTGAAGCAGAGGGAACGAGCTGAAACTGTAAACAATACTGAGTAGGCCAAATTGAAAGTTGAAAAAATTTACCCCAAGTATTAGAATAGCTGCTTACCCAAACTACTACAAAGAGTTATCCATTTTCCCCGGTGAAAGGAACTTCAATTATTACGCTTGTACCTTTCATGCAATTGCCGGGAATGTGAAGAATGTGTCTTCCCACGTAGACAGAGAGTAGCTAGCTAGGTGTTCAATTCAATTTATTGGTCAAATTTTATTTTATTTTATTTTATTTTTTTGATCATGAAGTTTCCCTTGTTTAGTGAATTAGGAAAAAGACAATAATTTTGATTTCCTTTAGAGTTCAATAAACTTAGTACCCCTGAGAAAGAGGATTTGTTTGTGTAACACGGAGTTTTTTTTTTTTTTTTTGAGAATCCTTTCTTTCCTTATTACAGAAATAATGGGAATGGTCCGACATATCCAGTGGTTATGGCAATTTCAATTACTCCCTCCGTCCCCTAATTATTGTCCAGTTTTACTAAAATGAAAGATTTTATTTTTTGTCAAACTTAACTCTATTTTACCTTAAACAACCGGATATACCCCTACATAAGTAATTGTTTAACCACTAAGATTTTATGGATAATGTTTTTTACTAAGGACAAATGTATAACTTGATCCATAAAAAATTAAATTGGACAATAATTGTGGGACAAAATTTTTTGGGCAAAATGGACAATAATTATGGGACGGAGAGAGTATAATAAAATGTGAAAGAATTTGCAAAAAAGCTCAAATCCCCGGTGAGACATCATTAAACTAAACCGGTGTTTTTGTGTTTCTATTCTATGAAATTGTTAAGAACTTTGGGTTAGTATTTTTCAACTTTTTTTTTTTTTTTTTAAAGATTTGTTCTGGAATTGATATGAATACTTTCACAACAACTTTCTTTCTAGTTTCTACTATGCAAACAAAAAAAGGTAACCCAAGATTGTTCAACTACAAGTTGCCTTCCAGTAATAGTCAACTACGATAATGGCTCGCTCTATTGAAGTAAAATTACAAGCACTTGCATTTATAAGCACATGGAGAAGATTTCACTTTGCTCCTTTTGCTTGTCTGCTGCCCTGCCCATGAACCCTGTCCTTTATACACATTCTTGCTCCTTAGTTCTTCTCAGAATTTCTTCATCAAACCTCTTACAATTCATCTCTTAGCTTTCTCCATTGAATAACATCTGTAACTATACTTCTCACAAGTTTGAGTCAGCCTCTCAAATTTGCCTTGGTCGGAACAGATTTTGCCACCGAAACATATTCGTGCCTCTTTGCCCAGACCAGTGATATAACTTTCAAAATCATCTTCACATCGAACCCACTCCATTTTATTCAATCTATAAATCTCACTTAAAGGATTGAAATTCAGAAGGCTCTTTTTCTCCTTTCGGTCGTGATATCTTTGGAATTCTCCGAAATTTGGGCTGATCTCTTTGAAGTTTAATGAGTCCATTGATGAATAAAATTATGAGAATTCTTGTGATAATAAAGAGAGGAAGTGAGATAGTGAATGGCGGTGGCGATAATGAGAGGGAGGAAATGAGATGATGGTTGGCGGTGGCGATAATCAAGAGAGGAACTCCGGTGGTGGTGGTTGAAAATTTTGAATGGGGCAGAGTTCAAAAGAAACTGTTGGGAGGCAAGGACCAAAATAGACAAATCAAACTAGCTATTTAAACACAATAGCTAGAAAGTAGCACAACGAAAACAAATCCAACGCTTCCCCAATTTGCAAGAATCTAATAAGAGTGAAAAATACCAACTACATTAAGTGAAAGTAATCAAGCAACAAAGCAACAAGAAACAAAAGCAACATAAGAACACCAACAATTACGTGAAAAGCCCCTGTGAAGAAGTAAAAACCGCAAGACCTTGATGACACTAAGATATATTTACATTTTTAGCATGTCTTATTTTTACTCAGAATTAGGTATCAATTAATTAGAATTAGTTTAATTTTGGGTTAATTTTGTATTTCAGAGTAATCAAGGGGCCAATATGGAAAATCAGCATAAATGAGGGCTAAATTGCACAAAAGAGCGTCATTCTGGACTGAAATGGAAGCTACTGGAATTCAGGCTGTTGGAGGATCGATTAGAGCTGAAGCAAGTGGAGAAATCCTTGCTGAAGAAGGAAGAATGGCAGCAGATGATCACAATTGGGAAGAATATGCAGCAGAATACTCAATTAAGGAAAAGAAGGGCAGCTGCTCTGCTGCCAAGTTGCTGCTGCAGTAGCTGTTGCTGCTGTCAATCAAGGAGGAGTCACGACCTGAAATCTTAGTGCCCAAGGAAGGAAATTGCTTTGCCATCACTGCAAGTTGTTGTTGTTGCAAGTGGAAGAAAAGAAAGAGGGACAATATGTGAAGAACAACAGCTGCAACTCTGCTACTTACCAACTGATGCTGCTGCTGAGTTGATGGATTGTTTACTGCAGAAGGGTGAACAATGGTATAGCAAGTGGCCGAGAAAACAAGGAAGGAAAGGGAAGAAGATTGAAGCTGAATGGGGGCAGGAAATACAATGATGGAAGGAAGCATGCTGCTGATGTTGCTGCTTGCTGACTGCTGCAAATTGAGCTGTGAGGATTAAAAAATGAAGAAAAGGATATTTGTGGCTACAAATAGTGACATGCGCCAAAGAAGAAGACTAAGGAGAAGAAGCAATAATGAGCAGAAGGTGGCTGATTGTGACTGAAGACGAAAGGAGCTGCCAAGCAATAATTGGCAAGTTGCTGAATAAACAAATACCTTCAGCTGCTGCAACTTGATGCCTCATCCAATCTGCTGCAAGGAAGGCCATAACTCCACCAATCCAAGCCTCTTCAAATCTCTATAAATAGTCAGCCAATAGCAGTTAGAAAGAAAAGATAGATTCGGTAGTTAGAATCAGTTTCAAAAACAGTAGTTAGGTAGTTAGTTAGTTGGTTAGAAACAGGGTAATAGCAGGAACAAGAGTGCAGATTGTCACTCTGTCAAGTGGCAAACGCCACTCGCCATAGTGAGTAGACAGAAACTCCCCCTGCTACCATCTTTGCCTTCTATCCTCTAACCTTTTGATCTTGAATTATGTATGATCTTTTGTACTTTGTTGCTTTCATGAACTCAATAAACATGAGTAGCTAAGTCAGTTAAGGGTTCAATCCCTACTATCTTTATGTGAATGTTTTGATTCAGTTTTCCTTGATGGGGCATTGTGTCTAAATAAGTAAGTTAATTAACCTTTTGATTAAACTGGCCACTTAATCAAGTGTGCATTTATAGTTATGAAGATATGAGAGGGGAGCATAACTTTAGAACGACTTAATCTAATCTATGACAAAGGAGGAAATCTACCCTTTGGTTTTAATCATCAACGAAAGTTAGATGATTGGCATAGGTGATTAAAGAGGGCTTTTGAACTAAATGGATTAGATTAATGAATTACACTGACTGAGAGGTAGGCAATTTAGATAATCTAGGACTTTTTATTCTATCTGAGATAAATTATAAAGATTATATGTGTCTGATCAAACAATATATCATACACTACAGGATTACTTGAATTAAAACTGGATCATAAAGGTAGGAAGGTGATTGACTCTTCTTCCTCTTCACTCTGTCAAGTGACTATTTTCACTCTCGCAAGTGACAAATCTGTTCAACTCATTTACTTTCCTTTTCTTGCACTTTGAGCAGATTTTGAGTGGTTGACTGCCATCTCTTTGGAACGAACCTGCTTACCACTAGCTAATAGTTTTAAGTAGGTTTTATAAATATTCTCTTGGGGGTGATATCAATGACAGTTTTCTTCATCCACCAGACCCAAAAGTCTAAAAAAATACACTAATCACCAAATCAAGAGTAGGAGTACATAATCCAACAATACCCAAATGATCTATAGCCCTTAAAAAGTCCATAAGGCACTAGAATCATAAATACAACATCAACAGATACTATAACATCCACAAAAAAAACAGCAACTTTAAAAATTCAAAATTCACAATCTAGCTGACAAAAACCAAAACCCTTTTGGTGGAGATGTAGATCAATGAGTCTTATAACTCGAATCCAAATTTCAGGACCAATGAACAACAAGTGCCCCTCCAAACTTGAAGAACTCAGACGCTACTCCACTAAAAATCTTGCTGGAAATTTCTTGCCCCTTCTCTCCCTTTTTTGGATTCTGTCTTCATGACCAAAATAACAGCCACGCAAACTCTAATTTTGGCTGCATTTTACTCTCTCAAAGTGGACTCAAAATGGGCTAAGGACATAGGAAAAGTTGGGCCAAAAGCTATTTAATTTACTTGGGCTTTTGACCCACATAGTTGGGAGCCCATCCCAACAAATCTTTCCCTTCCGGACTATGTGGAGGAAATTGTCATCCCGGCAATGGCACAACATAACAAACTTCAAACTTACACCTTGGCACAGCCTTGGTCATCATGTCAGCCCCATTATCATTTGTGTGAATTTTCTCAAGTTCAACTAACTTCTCATCCAACACATCACGTATCCAATGATATTTTACATCAATATGGTTAGACTTAAAATGAAAAGTAGGATTCTTGCCAAGATTAATTGCACTTTGACTATCACAAAGCAAAATATACCTCTTCTGAGAGCAACCAAGTTCTTTCAAGAACCTCTTCAAATACTACACTCCTTGCACATTTTAGTAGCTGCAATAAACTCAGCTTCAGTTATTGATAGAGTAACACATTGCAACCTAGATTGCCAAGAAACAACTCCCCCTCCAGATGCAGTAAAGTAACTCGAAGTGGATCTTTTAGTATCAACATCTCCAGCCATGTCATAATCAGTGTAGTCAATGAGAACTGATTTACCACCTCCAAAATAAAGTTTCAATCTCGAGGTGCCACGAACATATCTTAAAATCCACTTAACAGCATTCCAATGCTTTCTCTAAGGCTTGGAAAGAAACCTACTCACCGCACCAGCTGCATGAGCAGTATCAGGTATTGTACACACTATTGCATACATCAAACTACCAACAACAAAAGTACAAGAAACATTTTTCATTTCTTCCTTTTCTTCATCAGTAGAGAGACTCTGCTTAACACTCAACTTCATATGTGTCGCCAAAGGAGTGCTAACAGCCTAGCCTTCTCCATTCACAATCTCTCAAGTACTTTCTCAATGTACCTCTCTTATGATAGGCACAACTTTGTTGCTTTTCTCTCACTAGAAATGCTTATTCTAAAGATCTTCTTTGCTGACCCCAAATCCTTCATATCAAAGAATTTGCTCAACTCTTGCTTCAACCTATCAATCCTAGAAGCATTCTGACCAACAATAAGCATATCATTAACGTAAAGTAATAAAATGATAAAGTCATTAGGGGAGAATTTTTGAACAAATACACAATGATCACAAGTAGTCTTCTTGTAGCCCTGCTGCCTCATCACAGACTCAAACTTCTTGTACC